CACTAATTGTTAGCCGGAGGGGGAGTATATAACAGGAAAATCTTATCTAATAATGATTTTGGTTTCCTCCATGCATAATGCGATTCTAAAAGCTCCAAATTTTAGCTTTTTGTTAAATGCTTTTTTTTGTTGCAACAAACACAACCGATCTTCCAATTAAAAGTTCTTCTAGACTATCCTACAACAATGCTAGGGCCTGTTTAGATTAGCTTTTCAACCGTTGCTTTTGGCTTTTTGGGCTTGGAAGCTATTTTTGTTAGTGTTTGGCTAGTTTATAAGAAGAGCTTTTGGGCCTTAAAAGAGCGTTTTGGAGAAGCTGGTACCCCCAGCTTCTCCAAAACACTCTTCTAAAATACATGGGAAGAGTGTTAGATGCATTAATGAAACTTTTTAAATGGCAAGCGTACCCTGTATATTATCTCATGAAAAAAAATAATTCCAACCGTATCCCTATAAAAGACCCCTTAATTTTATTTCGAAACCCTAGTGTCAAAAAAACTCACCTCGGTGTTTTGCGGCAACATATACCTTCATACTTGGGAGCAGACTGATCTTTTGAAAAACTTAGCAACGATCCATCAAGAATTCAACAAGAGAAAAAACTTGAAGAAGATTATTGTTGGGGGCTATTCTCTTCTTTATTGTTCAAATTCCAATAACTCATTAAATTGCAGAACCTAAGTGAGCCACTAAACAAGAACACCGGTGGCTATACTCCTTCAATCTTCCAATCAATAATTTGACCTTGGTATTTCTTCTCTGCCTATTTCTTCATTACATCTATTTGAGGGTTTTTTTTTTTTTTTCCCTATCGGTTTTCTCTAAATATTTTCATAGGCACCCAACATTCCTTTATTACAAAACTCCCGGACGAACAATCACCTGCAACTTCCATAGGAATAATCCCCGTAATTCAACGCTCCATCCTACAATCAGATCTTTATTTATTTTTTTGCACCTTCAAATTGAATTGAATTCCCTTTTTGTTGCAACAATGGATTCCAGTTATTTACCCAAAAATAAAGTTTTTTTTTTTAATCAGATTAATTCATCAAAGATTCAATTCATGAGTTTATAGAAGTCCAGCCGGCATAGCTATTTGACTGTATTACAATTTTGTGGTGTCCAAACCAATTGACAACCTAAGATTTGTTTCATCATCAAATCCATTGGAACATTAGAGTTGCCAAACAAGTCTATTGGAATGTTGCCAAACATGTCTAACATGTATGTAAAACCGCTTAATTTCCTCCAATATTTCAATTTATCAAATCATTATAGTACAAAGAATCAATAAAATTAGAAGAAAGAAAAAAACAAATAATTGACCGTAGCAATATTTCTCTCTTCTTTTCCATTAATTTCCTTATAATATAATTAAGTTTGTTATTATAAGGAAACAGCAATATTTTTCTTTCTTCTTTTTTCATTCATTTCCTTATAATATAATTAAGTTTCCTTATAATACAATTAAGTTTGTTATTATAAGGAAACTTAATTATATTTCCTTATAATACAATTAAGTTTGTTGCTTACCACTTTTTTTTTTTCTTTTTTTCTTTTTTTTGATAACTAAAATGTATTAGAAAGCATTCAAGAGGGGAACGCATCCCAAGATAAATACAATAAACCAAAAAAAGAAAAAAACATAGAACCCTATGGACCCAAAGAACCCAAAAGGTCCACTATCTTATCTAGAGATATACAATTTCTTCCGATTACCCAACAAAAAAAGGAACTAATAATAGAAAATTTCAGCGCCCCAATGGGGTTTCCTCCCCCTCAAAAGATCTTTTGTTACGCTCTTTCCGAATGCTCCACCAAACACAAAGAGGAATCACCCTCCAACAATCACGAGCATGAGCCCCCACCCTTTGGCCCCTCTAAATATCAATCAACTCCCTTGAAGACCTAGGCATAACCCAATGAATACCAAACAAACCAAAAATAAGGCTCCAACAATCATAAGCCATAGGACAATGCAAAAAAAGGTGATCCACAGATTCTCCATCCTTCTTACACATACAACACCAATTGACTATGATCTGTCTTTTCTTTTTCAAATTGTCTAGAGTTAAAATTTTACCCAAAGCCGCAATCCAAACAAAAAATGCCACTCTGAGAGGAGCCTTTGAACGCTAAACCGTCTTCCACGGGAAGCTAGGACCCTAAAAACTAGTGAGGCAAAGAAAAAAAGGACGAACATCAAACCTCCCCTAAGGAGAAGATTTCCAAACCAAGGAATCAAGCCCTCTACCATCCACGTCTTGTCTATACAAAAGATCCAACAGGCCAAGGGCATCCTCAGGTTCCCAATCCTGGAAAGATCGCCGACAACACACATCCCATGTAAGCCTACCGCTATCAAGCCGATAACAATAAGCTATCATAGCACGTCTATCCGCAACAATGCTAAAAAGTCTTGGAAACAACCGGGACAAGGGGACATCCCCACGCCAACAATCCTCCCATAACCTAACATCCCTGCCCTCCCAAATTTTGAATCTAATATGCTTAGACAGCTTATACCAACCCTTATAAATAGCTTTCCATACTTCCACGCCAACAACAGATCTCACCGGCCTCGAAGACCATCCCCCTCTCTCCTCCCCAAAGCGGCACGCTATAACCCTCCTCCATAAGCGATGTCTCTCGCTACCAAATCTCCATAACCACTTTCCAAGAAGCGCCCTGTTAAAAGGGATCATCCTCTTAAGACCAAGCCCCCCCCAATTGAAACAGACTGCAAACATGCTCCCACCTGGGATTCATAGTAGATGTGTAACATATTTTGTTTTATTACAAATTATATGCCTCTCAATTTGTGAAATTTAGATTCTAGGAAAGTCATAAAGCATAAGATTAATTATTTTCTTTTTAGAAGAAAAAAAAATAGAAACCTTCAATATTTTATTATTCTTATTATTATATTTTGGTAGAATCAAAATGTTCAATTACAAATTTTCTAAACCGCTAAATAGTTTTTTGCAATCTCTTAATTGTTATTGTTATTGTTATTATTAGTATTATTAATTATTCTGTTGTATATAGCATGTTGTGGATAAATTTGATTATATTGAGTGGTTTATTTGTATGTGTTAAGAAAAAAGTTATGAAAAAACAGGTTAAATGACGGTCCAAAAAAATACTCTATCTAAGGGAAAAATAATTATTTTAGTAGTAGAAGAGTTTCAGCAAATGTTTTGCCAAACAGATTTAGAAACTCTTCTAGCATTAAAAGCTCTTCTAAAACGCAGTTTCCAAACACTAACCGATAAGCTAAATAGAAGTAATAGCTTCTGCTTCTCTTTTTCTTCTGCGTAAAAGCAGAAGCAAAAGCTATGCCAAACGACCCCTTAGTGGTCTAGAGAGAAGCTCAAGAGGGTTTAAGATATGTAGGACTAAAACTGAACATGTGGGATTGCACCAAGGGTCTACAGTAAGTCCATATTTACTAACAATAATAGTAGATGATATCACAAAAGATTTACTAGGAGACATTCAACAGTGCATGTTATTTATTGATGACATAGTGCTATTGGACACTTCTAAAGAAAATTTAGCAATAAAATTAGAAAGGTGAAGAAACGCATTAGAATCAAAAAGTTTAAATATTAATAGGACCAAAACTTTTTTTTTTTTTTTTTTTTTGATAAGTAAGATTGTATATAGAAGGAGCTCAAAATGGGAGCGCTCCCAAAGAAGACAAAAGCCAACCAAAATCAACACTATAGCTTTAAGCTATCCACAAAAGACAATCCATTGAATTACAACCCCACCCATTTACCCAAAAGAATAAAGAAGTAAGAATATTGTATTTAATAGCCCAAATGGGAGACTCCTCTCCCTCAAAATATCTCCTATTTCTCTTGCACCAGACCCACCAAATACAAGCATCTTTGACTCGGCTCTCCACTATACACCATTCCAACTCTCTAACAAGTCGACCGTGGATTCTGAGAACACCCATGGAAGATCAAACGCAACCAAAAACATAGACCAAACATCCCTAGCCACCGAGCAATGAATAAGGTGATCATTGACAGATTCCCCTGTCTTCTTGCACACGTCTTCTTGCACATATAAACTTAATAGGGGTGGCTAGAAGAGATAGGGTTACAAATCAAAATGTGAGGAAGAAATTAGGAATGATGCCTATTAGTGATAAAATAAGAGGAAATAGAGTTAAGGTGGTTTGGACATATCAAAAGAAGATTTGTAGATACTCGAAGAAGAAAAATGAGACTAATTAGAAATGATTTTTAAAAGTTAAATATTATAGGAGAGATGGCTAGTAATAAAAATAAAAGGGAAAAGATAATTCATGAGGGATTGAATGGGATTAAGGGAAGGATGATGATGATGAACTTGACTGGGTGACATTGACGCTGACACTGATCTTGAGCCAACCTGCCCACCTATAAACAACTATTACCATTCACATCAGTTGTATGAGGAGGTGCGAGAACATGTCATATATAGCAGTTGCACAACAGGCAAGTTTCGACGTGAAACTAAGTTTTACAGCTTTGAGCAACATAAAATATGGCATTATGCTGGAATGTACTACTTTGAATTGTATATTTTGATGAGAGTATCATTGGTACATCTTTTGTTCAAACTAGGAATGAACACACCAAACAGATGTTAATACCCAATGATGAACCGGACAGCTAAATAATCACTAGATCTAGGAAATCGTAGCTTCTGTTGGTTCCATTTATTATATTGTAATGAACTGCTTGAAAAAAGAAAGAAAACTCAGGTGAAGCATTTTTGTTCCTTTATGGAAGAAAAACTCTTTCAACAACTATTTTTGTAAGAAAAACACATTTTTTTCAACCCTCAATTTTCTTTTTTGCGTCCACAAGAACTATGGGAAGTGTGTTTGCTTTTGAAATCTACCAACTGCAATGAGCCTAAATAATAAAAATAAAATAAAATAACATGTTAAACCATGAGAAACTGAAAAAAAAAAAAAAAAAAAAAAGAGGACTCACCACATGTGGCCATGTCAAAACATTTTCACCAGTGATTGTCTCCACGGATGGCTCTTCAAATGCACACTGTTTTGCTAATGGCAACATAGCAGACACTGCAACGAATAAAGGAGTTGCAATTCTCAAATCACAAATAAGTCAAAGAACTGAACCGACCAGAGAAAGCAAAAAAGAAAAGAAAAAAAAATAAGGAAAAAAAGAAAAGAAAAGAAAAGAAAAATAGGTAAAGCAACAATAAATCCAACACTTACGCATTCAAACCTGAAAATAAACAATAAAAGAATATAACTTTTTATTTTTTGCAGTTAAAGAAATTAGAAGATAAAATTGCATTCGAAGGTTCATTTCTTGAAGTTGAACTCTGTTGAAATATAAAAGCTAACTGAGAAAATAATCTTAGAGAGAAAAAGAGAAGAATAGACTTCTCTATTTCATAGTTTGAAAGGATGTATACAGTCGGAATATATAATGTTTTCAAGAACACAAAATAAATAAAACATAGATAAAGAAAAGATAAATGAGGAAAGCAACAATTTATGAAAATCAATGATTATGCCCCTAATTGAGGAACAACTAATCCTTAGTTGTACTCACAGCTAGGGGTGTACATTGTTCGGTTCTCAAAGGTTCCTAAAAAATTGGAATCAGAACCAAAACTGTTGGACCTTGGAACCGAACCGTTAAAGGCCAGTCCGGTTGAGTTTTGAACCATGGTTTTGGAACTTCAAGAGCCTCCGAAAAAAATAATGTAATAAGCCACTATTAAAGGTCTCCCCAAGCCACTGGTAGTGTGGTAGTTTATTGCTAATAGTAAAATACAACATTGAATGCAAAAATGAGAGTAGAAATATTAGAATATATATAACATTGAATGAAATCTATTGGGTTGTACCTTTCTCATAAGCACTGCTATTATTATAATATAACATTAAATGCACACAATTTTCTTAATGAGAGTACAAAATAGGCCTCCCCAAGGCTCTCACTTATATTTCGTAATTTTTTTTTTTATACAATTTATATATACATATTTAGTTTACGGTTTGGTTGATCCGATCCTAATGGACCTAGAACGAGAACGGGAACCATAAACTAACGGTTCCTAATTTTGAAACTCGAACATAACTGTAGAAGAACCGAATCGATGGTTCGGTTCGACAGGTTTATTGGCTCCAACGGTTCTTTGTGCACCCCTACTCATGAAAGTCCCGCTCAAGCTGAAGAGTACATGTCAACAACTCCCAGCTTGTTGCAGAAAGAATCGATGCCGTACCTTGAAGGGCCTTAGATATCAGCTAACTGATTACGAGATGATACAAACGAAGTCACAATTAGAAGGAATAAAATGACCATCAACCTCAATATGCTTGGTTTGCTCATGGAAAATCGGGTTACTGGCAATGTGAATAGCTGGAAGAGATGGGTCTTAAACTGAAAACCCAAACTCTTGTAACAGAATTCTCAACCAAGTTAGCTCACGGGCAATATGAGCCACTGCACGAGCTTCAGCACTGGACCGTGCCACAACCGACTGCTTCTTACTTTTCCAAGTTACTAGATTGCCTCCTATAAAAGTAAAGTAACCAGTCGTTGACCGTCTATCTGAAGGAGAACCTACCCTTTCAGCATCAATGTAACCCTTGATGTGCAAATGTCTAGAAAACTGATAGTGAAGACCTTAATCTGAAGCTCCTTTGAGATACTTCAGAATGCGTATAACTGCATCCATCTGAGGGACTCGTGGGCTGGCCATAAGTTGACTCACAACACCAATGTTGCGTTTGGCGTGCAGGAATGGAATGATATGCCCATTCCAACCATTCCTTTGTTTAATATACAATTTAAAGTGGGAATGACGATTCCATTGGAAAGAAAATCCATTCCCCCAACTAAACCTATGGAATGGCCATTCCATTCCCAAGTAAATTATTTGACATATCAAGTGCCAAAAACCATCATGTTCCAAGTCCAAAAACCGTCGTTGCCGCCACCAGCACCACCTTCCACCACAACCACCGCCACCTTTCACCATCGCCACCTCCATTGCCTTCTGCCACCATCATTGCCACTGCCACCGCCACCACCGTTGCATCCTTAAACCACCACACCGCCCCCGCCTCCACTGCCTTCCACCACCTCCACCGTTGCCACCACAACCACTGACTTCCACCACTACCTCCTTCAACCACCGCCACCTCCATTGCCTTCCACCACCACCACTGTCACCGCCATCACCACCAACGAACCAGATGATACTTGAACTCCTCACTTTGCTACCCCAAAGGAAATTCCACTGCAACCTCTAAATCCTTTCGCCATAGGAGAGGGAATCCGGAAAACAGAAAGGAAATAAGTAAGGAGCCTCAACAAAGTGCTCTTCATAAGAGTAATCCTCCCACCATTAGAAAGATAGTGCTTCTTCCAACCGGCCAGCCTCTTCTCATACCTCTCGATTCCCACTATCCTAGACGAAGCCTCAAGACTCAATCCCATAAAAGAAATGGGAAAAGTGCCAATGATACATCCCAAAATATAAGCTAAGGTGGAAATCTAAAGATCCTCCCTGACCAAAACTAGAACACTCTGTCATAGTCACCTTAACCAAATCAAAACGCATCTCAAGTATCTCATCTAAGATGTGTCCGCATCACAAAAAACCAACGTGTCATCCGCAAACATCAAATGAAAAATCTCGAGGTACTAGCAACATTCCTACCCACCCTGAAACCTCTCAAGAAACCCAAGTCCACTGCCATTGTCATCATCATTCTGCTAAGAGCCTCCATAACAATAAGGATAGGGCTGTAAATGAACAAAGCTTTCGGCAAACAGTTCGAACTCGGCTCGCTAAGAGATCGATTCATGTTCGTTTGTTTGATAACTGAACCAAGCTCAAACAAAATTTTCAAGCTTGATTAATAAGCAAGCCAAACTCAAACAACCCCCTTCTCGGCTTGTTTGCTCGTAAACATGTTTGTGAACAAAGTTCGTAAAGGTGTTCCATGAACATGTATACTTATATACATAACACACGTTAATATGTAGCTAATGGTGAAAACTTATACATTAATATATATCTAAAAATGAGAACCTAAAGTCCATTTATATACAAGGCATCGATGTGATGTGTATGTATATGTATATGTATATATATGTTATTGTGTGATCTATGTTTCTATAATGATGTTTAGATACATATATCTATTTTTCTTTAGCGATCTCTGTGATATGTTGTTGTTTGATGCATCTTTGTAATGGGTGGGTACTGGATATGTAATACGCGTGTTTATATATATATATATATATATATATATATATGATGTTTGGCACATGTCTTTGCCCTTTTTGTTAACGAGCTTCAAGCTCGGCTCAAATTTGTCTCGAACAATTCCGAGCTGAGCTCGAACGCTACTGTGAGAGTTTAGCTCAAGCTCAAGTTGTGCTCAGACATCCAGCTTTATAGCTGGGCCAAGCTCGAACAGCCCACTACTCGGCTCGGCTCATTTACAGTCCTAAATAGCGAAAGCGGATCCCCTTGTCTCACTTTAAATGTATTTTTACTTATTATTGCAAGTTACCATATAAAAGTAAAAAGGTATATACACCTTATATGACATATTACAGGCGGTGGAAGTCACCAAAGTTGACCAGCTTGACCCAAAACAAAAGGGTATATATACCTTGGAGCCTTGAGCCCTTAACAACATTTTGGTGACTTCAGTGACTTCCACCACCTGTAATAAGTCATATAAGGTATATATACCTTTTTACTTTTATATGGTAACCTGTAATAATAAGTAAAAATACATTTTTAAAAAAAAAAACTTTAATCAGGCGCGCCTTTACATCGCCTCAGGCTCCTCACCTGTACATTAAAGGCGCACGCCTCATCAAAGGGGCGCCTTGCGCCTCAGGCGCGCACCTTGGGCGCCTTTGACACTACCTTGAACTATTAAAGAAACCGATCAGAGATCCGTTCACAAGGACCGAGAAGCGAGTGCTGGAAATATAGCACTCAATCCATTTCCTCCATCTTTCTCCAAACCCCATCCTATCCAGCAGATAAAGAAGGAAACTCCAGCTAACATGATGATAGGCCTTCTCAATGTCTAACTTGCACAAAACTAGACCAGTCAACGGAGCGGATCCTAATCCGGATCCAAATCCGATCTGATTAGTCAGATATGGATTGAACAAAAAAATCGATAACCCAAATACAATCCAAATCCGATGGCCTAACAAATCGGATATGAATTATGCTGCTCCGATCCGAATAAAATTATATATATAATTATTTATCAATAATTTTACATATATATATCAATAATCCTATCAAATTTGTATTAAAGGTAACCCAAAAAACTAAAAAACAAAAAATCGTCTCATCCACATACTAATAAATCTTCTAATATACATACTAATAATATCATACTCTTTATTCATTAACAAAGAGGAAAAAAAAAAAAATTTCTTTTCCTTTCATACTTTACTTATCTTTTGTTTTATATCTTTTTCTTATAATCATTGTTTTATTTATTCTCTTTTGACATTAATTTATATTTTTTTAATTATAAAAAAAAATTCTTTTTTATCGGATCGGATCGGATTATCGGATCAAATATCCCTTTATTAACAAATCGGATTTAGGTTGACTTACAAAATATCCGTCAGATCGAGTAAAATGCTTATTGGATTCGGATCGGATCAAGCCTGATCCAGTCCGAATCCGATCCGTTTACAAGTCTACACAAAACAAGTGGCAACCCACCACCGAGACGAGAGTCAACACACACACTAGCAATAACGACAGTATCGACAGACACGCCTTGGTGAGTGACTGCTATCTTCTTGATAGTGGTAGATCATCCTGGGATGTTCATTTTTTAAAGCATTTTCAAGATTGGGAGATTGAGGAAGTAGTTGGTTTTTTGGAGGAGCTGTATCATCAAGAGATTGTTAGTGGAGTCCTTGATTCTATGGTATGGGTCCCCTCTTCTAGGGGTCATTTTGTGGTTTGCTCATACTTTAGATGTCTTAGGATTTCTCAAGGAAATGCATTCCCGTGGAAGACTATTTGGCTTTCTAAGGCCCCCCTCAAGGTGGCTTTCTTTGTTTGGACATCTGTGCTGGGAAAGATATTGACCCAAGATAACCTTAAGAGGAGACAAGTTGTGGTCAAATGTTGTTGTATGTGTAAGAGAGACGAGGAAACGGTAAATCATCTTCTTTTACATTGCTTAGTAGCTCGGGATTGCTGGGCTTTGATGTTTGTTTTGTTTGGAGTTCAGTGGGTTATGCCCAGATCTACTAGAGGCTTGATTGAGGCCTGGAGGCTGTTTTGTGGGGACTCATGTTCGGGATTTCTGGAGGATTACGCCTTTGAGTGTCTAGTGGTGTTTATGGCTTGAACGAAATAAGAGATACTTTGAAGGGAAGGAGACTTCTATTGGTGTGCTGAAATTCTCCATTATTAGCTCTCTATTGTGCTGGGTTCTTGGGAGATATTGTAAATCCTTTGATGAGATAATGGACTTTATTAACTCTGAGAGATGAGAGGCACTATTTGGTCTTGTGTAGCTTTTTGAGGGAAGTGTTCCCCTTTTGAACGCTTCTTTTTATATAATCTTACTTATTAAAAAAAATATCTTAGAGTCAAAACCTTATCGATTAATTTATAAATACAACCCACCAAACTAACATGTCTAAAGTCCTTAACATCAATACCTCCCCCTTTCTTTGGAATAAGAGCAATGAACATAGCATTCAAGCTTCTCTCAAAACGCCCTGGGAATAAAAAACATGAAAAGTGTCCATCACCTCTCCCTTATCCACCTCTCAGTTTTCAAGGAAGAATCTCATGGAGAGAACCCATCGGGCCTCGAAGCTTTATCCCTATTGCAACTCTTCACTCTTCAACGCCATCAACACTTCCTCTTCAGAAAAAGGCCTTTCTAGCCCGTCTCTATCTACCCCCGAGTTTGAGTCAAAATGAAGACCCCCAAATAAAGAACCCCAACTCAACGTTTCTGTAAACAACTTCAGGTAAAAAGAGGCAATTCCCTTACAGACCTCCTCCTCCTTAGACAAAAACTCCCCATCAACCACAATCCTCCCAATATGATTGCCCCTTCTGTGGGCATTCACAAGCCGATGAAGAATTTTGTAATTCTATCCCCCTCCTTAAGCCACAAAGCTCTAGATATCTGCCTCCACGAAATCTCCTCCAAAATAGCAATCTCATCAATCTTCGCTTGCACTCAAGCCTCCTGTGCTTCAAAACCTCTACAATGTCTCCCAACCCCTCCTTACGGTCAATGTCAGCAATCTCAAAGAAAGCTCGATGCTTTCCTCCATTCCAAGTACCTAAACTCCTCCTTAGTCCATTTCTTGATGTCTTCTTTCATAGACCATAGTTTACCCACAAGGCCAAAACTCGAAGTATCATCCACCCCATAAACTTCCCACAAAGACCAAACCTTCTCAATAAAGCCCTCAGCTCTAAGCCACATATTCTCGAATCTGAAGGGGGAACTCCTTTTCCGCAACCCACCACAGTCCAAACCAAAGGAAGATGATTAGAGGTTGGACGAGCCAACGCGCCTAGACATCCAGGAATTTCTCCTCCCAATTCCCACATAAAAGGAATCTATCTAGGCAAGAAAGAGTAGGAGTTGCTGGACAAGTAAAAGACGCTCTCTCCAAAGGTAAATCAATCAACTGATAATCACCAATAAACATTGATAACTATTCCACAGGGGAACGAATGACATTAAAGTCCCTCCAACACATCAAGGGTAAGGCCACCTACTCCTAACAGAATCAAGCTCCTCCCACAACAAGTGATGCATATTGTCCTTGTTTGGACCAACAAACAGCTGAAAAAATCTAATGAAAACCATCCTCCTCCATAGAAAACACACAAGACATTGAGAAGCATCCAACCCAAACATCCAGCTTCAAGACCCATCTTTTATCCCACATCACAAGAAAGCCTCTGGAAGCACCCAAAGCATCCAAAAAACCCAATCCACATATCTCCCTCTCCTAAGGCTCCTAACAACCTTATCCGAAACCGATGCAAGTTTCATTCCTTGCAAACGCACATAAGCACCCCACCTCCTAACCGCCAACTTCACCACCTTCCTCTTGTCCGGATTCTTTGGACCATAAACATTTAATGAAATGATACGAAACTTCATTGGCAAACATTAGAGTTCTCCTTTCCTCTCCTCCTCCCTCTACCCCTTCCTTGACCCCCCACTCTTCCCTTCATAATTGACATATGAAATGAGATTCACCTCCCTCTCCCCCTTTTTCCGAGGGAGTCCTACCCTTGCCGCTCACCTTTTGATTTGCATCAATTTCATGAAACATGCTAATGGCCCGACACTTTTCACCTCCACAATCCACTCCAAGGAGATTTCCCACAAGCCCTACATTCTCCCTCACTCACTCCTCACACCCTACCACAGCATTCCAATCAGCCCCTCCCCCAACATCAGCTACCTCAGCGCTCACCCCCTTCGGCCCCACCACAGCCAAAGGAACATACAGACCGTCCTCCAAAAACTCTCCCCTTTTCCCAAGGAACAATCCCCTTGCACATACACCTTTGATTTTTAGATGAAGAAGGATAGGATTTAAGCTACCAACTAGTTTGGTGATGCTCCATAACTCTGTTGGGAGTAAGTGTGCTCTTCAAGCAAATTTATAATTAATAGAATTTGTTATTTTTAGTTTACAAGCTTTACCTACATATATGGTGAATGCTTTGTATTGGTTGACTCTAGAGTTGAGTTAAACTACTCCACTGATGTTGTAATATGATTTATGTGCATCTAAAAGGGATATGTATAGGAGATATAAATCATAGAGATTACATCTTCATAAATTAGTTTGCATTTGTGATAGAATTGGACATTCTATCAATGTAACATGTAGGTTTCTACTTGTGTAATGACTTATCTCAGCCGTTATGAATAGAAGAACCATATATGTCGATGTGTACGACACCTTGAACAGCATCGTGAATAAGTTGTAGAAAATACGATAGTTGTCATAATATGTTCTCCTTATTTGTATTAAAACAGATACTCTTTAAGTATGAGAGAGCAATGGACTTTTGTCTTGATTAGTGGTTACTTTGATTTATTTCAGTGGGCCCTAAGGTCTAAAATCTTGATATTTTGGGTAATCACTAATTGTTGGCAAAGGAAATTTACTCTTAAGATGGCATCTGTGCTATTTCATTTTTTATTAACTTGATTAGTTTGATCATAAAAATCCGAATCCAGAGGTTTTGATGAAATGTTTGGATGATAGCTTTATTTATCTAAAAAGCTAATTTCACATAGAGGGGTAATCTTGTAATTTAACACTGGCTTTTTTTATTCATTAATTGGAGTTCAAATATTTTTATTTAGTAGATTAAAAAACAGTTAACAGGCTAATAAATTGGGACATGGGGTTGACTAGTCCTTTAAGAAGCCCAAAGCCAAGTCTTGGATACGCTCAACTAGATCCCACTCCTAGCCTAACTTGGAAAGCAAGCAATAGAGTTAGAAGAAAACAAGAATAAGAGAGGGGGGGCGGCCAACCCAGGGTTTGCTGCGGTGGGTGGCCAACCCCTCTCCTATAAATACATGGTTTGTGTGTGTCTTGGATACACAAGACAACTAGAAGACATATTCGTTTCAAACCATTCTCTATCTACACCTTCCAGACTCTTTTGGAGCCCACTCTTCCATAACTTGTAGATTCCATCAAGGTCGTAGGAGTGGAGATTTAGGAGTGTCCTTAAAGCCATACAAATCAAGGTTGCAATTCTTGGAATTATGCCCATCAAGATTTATCAAGATTCCTATTCAAAAGACTGAGCAGCGTTTTGTATTTTGGCCATATCTTTTTCAATACTTGGAATTTTAAGGTGAGGGCAGTTGGGTGGGAAAGCTAACTTGATTACCGAAATCTCATAAAAAAATTTGTCGAACTTCGAGTTCAGATGACCCCTCAACCGACTCTGCAAAGTTTTTCCAGCTCTCACAGACTGTCCTGCACACCCTTCGGTTTTTTTAGGAAATCTCTCAGAATACCTGGAGTTTGAGCTCATTCTTTTTCCATTGGAAGGTAGACTCGAATAGCGTCAATTTGGACACTGATTTGCTATGCCAGGGCATATAAATCCCAACAGCTCCCACTTGCCCTCATAGCCAATTCAAATTGCATCTAACTCCAATGTTATCCAGGTGACGATCAAAACACCACGAGGCGCTGTCTGCGAGTCGGGTTATTTGGGAATGCAGCCCAAATCTGAGAGGGTCTTGCTAGCATAGTAAATGGCATGAGGAGTTTTATCCACACACTGGCCCAAAACAGCACCTCCACTCGATTCTGATATTGGTAGGTCCAGAACAGCGCATTCAAAGTCGGGTTACCTGCTGCTGCGGGAAAGATCGCGAATTGGGTATAAGAGGAGTTTATTAGTGAATCGTTGGAGGTTTTGTTTGTGTGATGCAGCAGGTCTTATTCAATACTGATTTCCCCATAGACTGTTCTCGTTTTTTATGCTCTACCAATCATGTCATATCTCTGTACTTTCTCTTTCTAGAATTGATTCACAAGAACTAATGGGAACGAATTTTTGCTTCCGCTAAATAGACCCATTTTTCTAATAACTCCACATATATAGACATGCCATACACCACATGTTTTCCATGTCATATAACAAAAATATATATATCTTGAGAATCTCAATTAAGTTCAAACAATGCGTACTCACTATCAATGCCATAGACATTGCGCCAGAAATCAATGCTTTCAGTGTATCTGTCGGGATGAGTAACAGGTGCCATGTACAACTGCAGACATTACAGACTTAATATTAGTATTATAAAGTCTAATTGAACTCCAGTTACTGCTAGATCTACAATGCAACTCAACAAAGTCTTATACTAACTACTCCACGGCAGCTACATGAAATAAATTGCAAGTCAATACTAGGTGAAGCTAGTACCACTACATTATACATTTCTGAACCTCACATTATAGTTTAAAATTCATTGTCAATCAGGACAAGCTCCATATAGAGTGATGGATCCGCTAATAACTGTTGTGAGGTTAAAGTTAACAACAAAACAAACATGTGAGAATCAATACCGTAGCATTTGAAGGAAGGATAAGGCCTCCAGGTTTTAGCCATCGATCTCGGGCAGTAATGATGCTCCCCAGCATGCTCTGGAAGGAAGGGCAGCCAGGTTCCACAAAGTAGAAGACAGATAATGAGTGGGGTCATATCTCAAGCTACTCGATGCACAGTTCTTAATATATTGTAGCATAGTTCAATATGCAAGCAAGCAAGCAAAAAATTCACTAATCACCTCATATAGAAGCATGTAGCCCATCCATTCTGAAATGATTACATCAACCTCTTCATCAATTTCCACATCCTGCAGCAATCAGAACCGACGCAGTCTAATCTTACACACAGACATCTACAATAATAATAAAATGAAAAAAAAAATAAAAATAAAAATACCTTACTTGGTTGGCTAGCAAAAATGGAGAAACAAGTTGGAGCAAGAAAAGAATACCATTTAAATGAAATCTATGGTTTAAAAAGAACTGCTACAGCTGACAAAAGTCAATATTTGATGACATCATGGGTCATATGCAACATATATACTAGCCCTAAAAGTTAACAATAATTAAACCAATTCCATACAATATCATTGTTTATTACTTTTTCTCTTTTATTTGTATTATTTTTGAATGACAAGAAAATCATTTTTTAAAGAAAACAAAGATGTACCTCTGTATGTAATAGCAACAACAGGAAATAAACCCTCCCACATAAAAGCTAGGATAGACAACACAAACCCTAAAGAATATCAGAAAGAACACAAAGACGTCCAATCCTTTCCAGCAACATGAAAAGCTTTGAAATGTGATAAGCAAAATAAAATCTTTGAAATCTGAAAAGTAGAAAAATCATAAATCGGTCATGCTAATGTCATAAGCCACTTAAGAAGTACTGTAGGGTATGCACCAACTCCCCTTAATTATGAATACTGTTTATGTAGGTTCAAAACATATCTACAATTAAATAAAAAAAATCAGAAATCCAATCCCAAAAAAAAATGCAAAGAAAGGGATAGGTACTGAATTGAATCAAACGATAGTGAAAAATGAAAATAAAATAAGTTTGAAATGTAGAAATTGAGGATCAAGCAAAGGTGACCATTCCCCCCTCCACCCCTCTAGATCTCCAGTAATACATAGATGTTGGCACCTCAAACAAAGTCCAGCATGGGAACAAATGCAACAAACATGATTACACAGAGAAACGTTAGGTTGTTCATTAATATCTAGTATTTTACAATATCACAATTTCTTGTAGTTTAGTCTATCATACAAGATCACTACAAAACTTATGGATGCCACATATTAGTACATAATCAAAATCCAATCCTAAACAAACAATCCTTTTCAAAGCTTTAGGAATGTATTGGCTAGTCTTGAGAATCCTACCTCTATGCGTCCATGCAAAACAATGACTGTATCAGATAGGTTATTTGCCTTCACAACTTCATTTGCCTGGTTAAACATTCAAATTAACAAGTTCAATTCAAAACTATATCTCATGGTCAATGTTAGATACATTATGACAGCGGATATACAAATACTAAGATGTTAAATATCCTCATGCATTAGAAACGAATTCAGGGAAAAAAAAATCCAATCAAACTCTGCATATTGGGGAACAAAAATATAAGGCATGCGGCAAAGTAAAAGATTCAACATGACCACTAACCATGAATAAAATAATGAAATAAATCACGACTTAGTGATCAGTATTACAAATATTGACGAGTTGTGATAAAATATTTAAATGTGTTGAAAAATTAAAAGCTGTGGCAGATATTTACGAAGTATAGTGATATACCTATATCACTATCACATATATTGTCACTATTAGTTTTCTACGGTATCAGTCGCAGTGTAACGGACTCGGATAAAGTGATACGGGTCGCGTATCGGACTTGAAAAAGCGGACGGACTCGGATAAAGTGATACGGGTCGCGTATCGGACTTGAAAAAGCGACGATACAGAGAACCATGATTCTACTTGTTCTATTTATTTTTATAAGTAATATTTAAAGGCGCCCAAAAGGGGAGCGCTCTCAAAGAAACAAAAGACAATTACACTGACACTACAACTTTAAGCTATCCACAAAATCCAAAAGAGGATCCATAGAAGTACAATCCCCGCCCATTTACCCAAAAAAATAAAGAAGAATATTGTATTTAAGAGACCAAATAGGAGCATCCTCTCCCTCAAAGGACCTCCTATTCCTCTCGCGCCACAGACCCCATGAAATTCATAGGGGAGTAGCCCTCCAAGCATCTCTAACTCGGCTCTCCACTATACACCCTTTCAACTATCTACGAAACTGCCCACCCCGTACATCACCTGGAAGTAAATCAAGGCAAGGAAATCAGTAACCTCTAGGAGCTCCCAATTATTAAACTGTCTATGAAACTGCACATCCCAAGTCACCCTCCCATTATCGAGATCGATAATCAGCAACCATAGCATGTCTATTCATATCAAGCCTGAAAAGATGAGGGAATCTACGATCCAAGGCCAGGTTCCCACACCAACTGTCCTCCCAAAACCTGACATACCTCCAACGAACCTCCACAATGAAACAAATAGCAATCATACATTTTCTTTCTAATTTCTTCATTACCATCTCTATCACCAGTCCCAATCTTCACTTACACTATTATCATAAAGTAACCAAGAAAATCAATTGATCAACTTCCCCACAAAGTCACGAAAAAAGCATTTCTATGTCCATCTTTTCCCGTGTAATGAATATTTCCTGTGTTCTCAATTTGTCCTCCTACCCACTTAGTTTCCAAATTTTTTACAAACATAATTCATTTCTCTAAAATAAAACCATATATAGTATATAAATACAGATGTACATATACATAGATAAATGAATACACGCTCACCCTTACCACAACCCTTACCACAACCATCTCCTAACCAAAAATTCACCACTCATATTTGTATATGCACTCAGCCTCCATTTCTTTACAATTTTTTTGCGACTACCAACACTGTAAAGATCATTTGAAAAATATTAGGGAAAGTTGCGGGAAAAAGTCATAAAAGAAATTTGCAAAAAGTTCAGAGAAAATAAACTTTAACAGATAGGAAGTTTTGGAATTCAAAGAAAATATAGAATTTCTAGATAAAGAGTCGTAAATTTTAGAGAGAAAATGGATGCAACATATAAAAAAATAAAAATGGAGAGGGAAAATTGCAGAAGATAAAGGAAGGAATCAATAAGTCAAACCAGATCTAAAGACCCAGCATCCCACCTTTTCTTTCATTATTTTTTCCAGTTTTCTTATTTCTCATTGTGCCTTGATAGTCCCACAGTATTACAATACAACTCAATCACATGGCCAGATGTATATATATGTACTGACCGAGAGATTGAGAGAGAGAGAGAGAGAGAGAGCAAAACTAAAAACTGAAGAAATTAATTGTTTGTGACGGAGGGTTGCAAGACGTAAAGTTACTAGTGGAGAGATCTGCTGACGGAAATAATTGGTGGTGAGACATGGATTGATGGATACGATCATGGGATGTTTATGTGTTATCATTTGACTCATTGTTGGATATTGGTATGGTGGTGGGACGTGGCGATTACTGGCTGGTTGTGAAGGAATGTTGGTGGTGACACTGTAGGTCATTTGATGGCATGACGCAACACATTGGTGGTTGTGGTAGTTAAGTGTCAACTAAGTTGGTGATGGTTGTGAAGGTAGAGAGAGACGAACAAATTTAATTTTTTACAAAGGAGGTGGGTGGTGGTGTAACTTCCGTGGTTTAGTGGTGGCATTAGCTCCGCAGAGAACAAAAGAAGATTATATTACTTCGTCGAATTTTTCAATTAAATTGCATATTATTATTTTTCTATAAGTCAATTAAATTGCATAGTATAAACTTAAAAAAAAAAAAAAAAAATAGAGGACGGTCCATAAATGTAAATTCACATCTTCCATTAACACCATGAACTACATAGTTGTAAATCCCACCTGTGCATGATGCTTGGAGGGAAAAGATTGGAGGTAAACCTAACCTTTGGCACTATTATGAACAAGAGAAGAACATTTCAATTTCTTTAAAGCAACTTGCAAGTTGCAACAAGTTCATGTTTGCATTCCAAGGTAGCCATTACATATGAAAAAGTTAAAAGAGGGTAGATTTATACCCTATTCACCGCTCCTACCAACTCAAGTTGCCAAGATCAACACTGGCTAATGGCTTTATCGGCCTTTCTGGAATTAAAGCACGTGAAAGAAGCAAACGAAAAATAAAAAAATAAAATAAAATGCAAACATAGGTCATTTTCCTCCAATCTGGATAAATGATCATTTGTTCTAAATTGAAAATCAAACTTTACTCTAAAATGGAAATACTGGGAATTTCTTAAACCATCTCATGAATCAACCAACCTTCACTGGTACCAAATGCTTAAACTAATGAAAAGTAAAAAATAAAAGGAACCCTTAAATCAATCTTCATTAAAGGCCTACACAATACACAACCCAAAACTGATGCTGAACAATATTCTAGATGAGAGAGGCATTACATGCCTTTCATGTATTAAGACAATATGATGCGGAACAGAATGTAGTCTGAATTCTTTGATCATGGTAAATAATCTCTGCTATTAATAAATATTTAGCATGCCAAGAATTCATCATCCTTAATCAAACAAAAAGATGACACTGCTAGGCCAACAACTATTGCGCCATAGTTTTCTATTTCTTTTTTCTTTTTTTCTCCCAATGCAATCGATAGAATCAAAAGAATATTACGAGGACTAAAAGGGATATTTTGAGCCCTCAGATTCATGATAAGTCACATAGCTCAATAATTAAACCTATGACATCTAAATTACGTTTAATAAATCCATCATTCAGACCAGAAATGGCAAGAAATATGCATATAAATGATATGCAGCATGTTGTTACCAGTAAATTTATTATAAATGCAACAAAGTACCTGCAGTGCAATCTCACTGGCATCGACAGCATAGACCTGGTGATAAAAAATAACTTAGAAACTCATAACAATGTCAAAATGATAGAAATTGAAACTGAATCAATCAAAATGAATGGACATGCATTGCCTTTAAAGACACTTAGCACTCATACCAATGTCCAAATGTAGAAAATTGAAACTGAATCAATCAAAATGGAACAGACAAATTGCCTTCAAAGAAACTTAGCACACATAACAATGTCAAAATGATAGAAAACTGAAACTGAATCAATCAAAAAGGAACAGACACACATTGCCTTCAAAGACACTTAGCGCCCATAAAAATTTCAAAATGATAGAAAATTGAAACTGAATCCATCAAAATGGAACAGGCACACATTGCCTTCAAAGACACTTAGCAATCTCAAGTGCCTTTTGTACCAGAACAAGGCACCGATGAAGTGAATAAGGTTGTCATGACTGCGTTACGTTGGTCCTAATGAGTAAAAAATCGTTGTCCGTTATGGTTATTAAAAAGCTCAAGGCGCATGGAGGCACTTCCAGAGCCAATGCACAATTACAGTTTAAGGTGCAGTGAAGTAAGACTCGTGTTTGTTATAAATGTAGAGTAAATAAGCTTATGGTTGTAGTTATTCAAAATATGACTTACCAAAAAAAATTATTCAAAATATGCAACACAAAATAATTATAACAAATATAAATGGGGAACTTTTTATCATATCAACTGAGAGGGTTAGTTTAATCAATGAAAACACATCCTTTCTTCATTATATTTTTCTATATGAATTTAAACAAGTAGTCACTAAAATGTTCATTCCAGAAAAGACTAAAAGTGCTGTAGAACAAGTTGTATTTTTTTCATAAGCAAGTACCATTAACTGAGCTCAAAAATTAACATTTCATAATTGAAATCATTTGATCAGGCAACAATATTCAACACCAAGATATCTTACTCGTTTCGCACCAGCTTGAGCACAAAATATAGAAAGAATGCCCGTGCCACAACCAACATCCACTACAACCTGAAATCATGATTCGCAAGTAAAATCATGGTTTACGTCACGTAAATGCTATATAACCTGAGCTAAGATGGAAAAAGCTTCTGAGAAAGAGACAATACAAAGGCCTTTTATGAAGGAAATGATAACTATAATCATACTTTGCCAGCAATATAATTCTGATGTTGCAAAATTGCAGCCCTATAAGTTTCAGTCCGCACACGATCCTGTATGTTTCAAGAGTAATATTAGCATATTTCTTATTACAAATACAAACACTATAACAAGAAAAAGAAAAGCCATGAAATGTCAGCAAATTTCCCAAATGGTAAATGCATCTATTCAATTTTTTTTTTTTTTGTTGATAAATAGTAAATGCATCTACTCATATAAAGTATAAACTACTATGTCAAGTTCCCAGATGAAATAACAGTAATAAAATTGAAAGCAACAGAAGCAAATGCAAACCAAGAACAATACATCAGGAAGCTCTCAAAATCCCGTTTCACCTTTGTTCAGGTCTATACATATAAATTATTGGGATTGTGTCTGCCCTTCAAAGCTATTGATAGTAATTTTGACATTTAAAGTTAATAAAGTTTACTTATCTTCATACATAGAAGGTGAATGCTTTGTATTGTTTAATTCTTGAGTTATGAATTACGTGTCCATTAATTATAATAGGATGATTTATGTAATATGGAAGTGGCATGTGCATCAGAGATATAAATCATCGGTATTCATAACTATAAAATTATTTGCATTTGTTAATAGAATTGGGATTTCTATTAGGAAGAATGTAACACATTGGTTTCTACATGTTGACTTATCTCAATCATTTGAATATAAGACTCAAAACCATATGTGTTGGACACACTGAATTGGATCGTGCATAAGTTGAGAATTACTTAAGCCATCATGAGTAATTTTCCTTATCATTACTAAACCAGGGCTCTTATCCGAACTCTAGTTACAGATCATCGGCTGCCTGCCTGCCTGAGCTTCGCTAAGAGATTGATGAACTCTAGTTCATGGTGTTCATAAATAGTTTATTTATTTATTGTGAAAATAAATTTCTGTGATTAAATGATTCATAAACCTAGTGGCCAAACTATGGATTAATTAGTGTATGAATTGATGGTATTATTTAGCCAAAAAACTAATTAACATGGAGAGGTTAATTTGCAATATTTAGTCATATTGGCTTCTTTATTCATATCTTGGAGTGTAATTTTTTTGATTTAATGGACTTATCAAATGGGCCAAGATTTGACAAGCCCCTTGGAAAGCAAGCAACAAGTTAAGGGAGTTATTAGGGTTTGTGTAGGAGAGAGGGGGCATCCACCTCGCCCAATAAAAGGGGCTACCCCTAGAAGACACAAAAGACACCCTCTTCTCTCTCTTAAAACCCTAAATTTAAAGAGACTTGAAGCCCAATAGCAGAATTGAAGCCCCAGAATTCAACATTTTGATTAACAATTTATTGTTGGTGTTTAAAAATTCAAAGTTGATCAAAGGATTCAAGACTTGCCTCCTAGTTGACAATTACAAGTTGTCCAAAGGTCATTATTAGTTCTTCTCACTGTAAAAACATAATTGGTCGATCAAAACAATTGAGCAAGAATTTTTGCTACTGATTTTAAACCCGTAAAGCTCAAATGCAAGAATTGTTCAGAATCCCAACAAACCCGCAACACATTGATCACCCACAAAAGCAATACTAAATCAAAGAAATGAGGAATTGAAAAAACAAAGAAACAAAAGACAGAGATACAGGGAGTGGGAGTTTATATATACATATACATATACATAGACAGATAATGGGTGTACCTTGATCATCTCTTCGTGGATACCGACGTGAGAGTAAGATTGAAAGTAGGCCTTGTCGAATTCGGTACAGGGAGGCTTCTCGCTCTCAGTTTCTCTCTCTTGGCCAGAATAGGAAACCCTAGACGACCCATCTCTCCTGCTGCGACTGCCCTTCCGGAATCGCTTGTCGCCGTGTTGTTGGTAGCCGTTACTCGTTGGTCGGAACATTCCGTCACTCATCTCATACACAGAAACAACAAAACTAAAGAGAGGGAAGACAAAAAAATCGTATGAGTCGAATGACTCCACTTACTAGAAGTAATTAAAACCAACAGTCCGCGCAACGGAGGAGGCACACATGTGAAGAGAGGCGGTCACTCTCAAGTATCCTAAATAAAAGGGCTACATTGTTTTCTTTTGCCACCAACAAAATGCAAATTAGGTTATAGGGTGTTCAAAAATAAAATTACATAATTAACCTTAGTAATACAAGATGGTGTTGAGGCACGTTGCGTCTAGTTTGTCACGCAGATAGAAAACAGATTTTAGATAACTGCCTATTTAAACTATATTTCAGAAAATTGTTATCAGAAACTTAATCAATAGTAATTTGGTATACTTTTCAATCATAAAATTGTTCTTAAAAAACTAAAACAAGTTAGAGTTGAAAGTAAGTTGTGTTGTTTTGTTGTGAATCAAAAAACAAAAAAGATTCAACAGAAATCATATTGGGTTATGCAGTGTGTCACTACTGCTCATTTTTCTATTCTTAATAATTAATGGAGTTATTGAAGGTTAAATGAAAATAGCAAACGAAGAAATGAAAAGAAATGAAAAATGAAAAGAAAAGTACAGTAAATGAAAAGAAAATTAATTTTTCTAATATGTATTTCGTTATGATGAAAATTTATTAAAGAAAACTGTAAGAAAATATCATATTATAGTTTGGATACCTAAATTACCCTTTTTTATAAAAATAATAAAATAATAAAGAATTAGGAATAAAACATATTTTTTAAAAATTTATCAGTGATAACGTTGGTGCACTCCAATTCTTTGAAACCTCCAATTCTTTGAAACCCAGTTGTCTCCAAATATAAATAAAGTTGTTGGATAAAATAGGAACACTAAATAAAAAGACGATACTTGCATGGGAAAATAAAATTTCCTCTTTTGTACAGAAACCCATTTTGGAGAAAATAAAGGGTATTGCGCCCGGATTTTTCCCACCCTCTCTAAGGGTTATATTAAACACTTATGGGTCAAAGAATGAGCTTAATGTGACACAGTGGCTACAACCAATTATTATTCATTTGGAGTCACCACCTAACATAGGTTTATTGGTGTGTTAGGTCACCTTAGGGTAGGGGTTGCAAATTACAACACGACACGAGTTAAAATGATTTGGATTTGGCATAAACGGGTTTGCTTATAAAAGGGTTGACACGATTAACTCGTTTACTTAACCGTATCGAGTTAGGACTAAGGGTTCAACCCGTGTAACTCGTTTATAACCTATTTAACTGAACATATTATAATCGTAAATATAACATATGTAATATTTTAACTATTTAAACCCAATTATTATGGATAGTTAAGTCATTTCAATATAAACTTTATTTATGCCTTGTAATTTTTCTTTTTATTTTGAATATTTGGGTTAGTTATGATATTTTTTTCCTTCTATTTTTCAGTATTTGATTAAATATTAAATGTCTCGTTTTGATAAACAGGTCATTAAATGGGTTAACACATTTACCTGTTTAATAAACGAGTTGGGTTAGTGTTAAGGATACTTGACACAATTATTAAATGGGTTGGGTTTGGATTTACCTATTTAATAAAAGGATCGTGATATTCAGGCAGAACAGTCTGACCTACTTGCTAGGCAGAATACATGTGGTGGTCCAGCTCGCAAAAAATTAATCCAATTTGGCATCAACATCTCACACGTTGTCTATTCATCTTCTCTTCTCGGAACAAACTACAAACTAACATGAAGACCAACGTCCTCTTCATCATCATTCTGCCGGCTCAACACGCTGTCACAACCATCACCCAACTTTAGCAATTCTCCGATAACTATCACCTAACATCCTAAAGTGGAGAAAAACTCCAGTTTTTTGCAATTGCATGGTGGGCAGTAAGGACTGAAGATTTCAGGTACGACGTATCAGGGCCAACGCCACAAGGCTGACGCCAAAAGTTGCAGACCCAGTTGTGGCACGCCGACTATGAGTTCTTAATCGGTGTATGGCATCTCGAAGTGGTGGAGCTGCCGAGAGGAGTCATCCCTAATTTGGCGTAGATCTTGGGCGAGCAAGAAATAGGCCAAAATACATTTTCCTCCACCTCGCCTGAACCATCAATTCTTGCTTCTTGTAGATCTCTGTATCACTCTTGAATTTTATTTTGGGTGGATTAATTAATTGTTCTATGTGTTTAATGTGTTCTGGGTACAAATTTTGCTTCTTTGTATTGTGATTTAACTTATCTGTATACATAGCTTTATCCGTATAAAATACTATAAACTTTATTGTTATTGAATTCTGAATTTCAGTCTCCTCACTTGAACCAAAAGAGAAGACCCAAAAAAGGGAGGTGGAACGTTGCTCAGGCCAGAGAGAGAGGGGAGAGAATGGAAGATGAACGCACGCGCATTCTTTTTTTGCCAACTAGACGCCACCTAGGATTCTGCCTAACAAATAGGCTAAATTGATCGGCGTAAATATCATTTCCCTTAATATAATTGTGACGGCCCAAGTTTTTCAACCCGGTGCGTCAGTGATGAACCAAAAATTGACCTGTGACGACCCTGGTTTTTAAGCCAGTGCATCCTGTGATGAACCGAATGTAGATCCGATAATGAATCAAAAATGCAGAAGCAAAAATAAAACCTAAGTCTCTAAAGATACAATACGTATCTACGAATCCAAAGTGACCTTCCAAGAGGCCACGAAACTCAACGAGAACTAACGCAGAAGAAAAAGATCAAAAATAGACCAAGTATGCCTCTAAGGGCAAAATAATCTTTTTATATGAAATGGAAGTCTAGAGAGATGTACGTCATCCCTAAGATACGAAAGTGGCTTCCCGAGCAGTCCCGAGGCTCAAAGGAAGCAAAAAGGAACAAGGTTTTTAAAAAACCTATAAGAAATGGACCAAGGGTAAAATGATCATTTTACCTAGGAATGGGTGCTATCGTACACACCATTGGAAAGACAACAAAAATTAATTAAGATGGACTTAAGAATCACATGATTTGGAGTCCGAACGAAAGAGAAACGGCATGACGAAGAAAAACAAGCACTTAAGGCTAAAAGGGTAAACTGGTAATTATCCATGAATATCTGGGTGCAACTAAGCACACCGTTAGATAGACAACAAAAAATTAGTTAAGTTTAAAAAAAAAAATTCACTCAATTTGGAGTCCGGATGACAAAGTTATGATTAAATGAAGAAAGAGGGTCAAAAAATGCAACTCAGGATCATTTAATCGATTAGATGATCCATCTAATCGATTAGATGCCAAAACAAAATGCTGGAAATCCCACAGAAGGCCATCTAATCGATTAGATGAGGTTAACAGCAAGCAAAAATATTCTTACCAGAAAATTGAATTTGAAATGGGGTTTTCGTGTCCGAGACGACGTTTTTTGGGAAAACACAAAGAACAAACCCCCCCCCCCCCCTAAAATCATGTTTTCTACATGACTATGTTAAGAGACGTTTTTATTTTTCAAGTGAAATACCTAAAATGCCTTTAAACTGGATTATGCAATAAAAATACAAAATGAATCCATAGGAAGCTCAAATCACCAAAGATGAGGTTTTTCTTTAAAACGATCATGCACACAAATGTAACTTACCTATTAAGACGTGCTACAATGGTCCATAGCTTAAAAATACCACCGATGCAAAATTCGACCCCCCAACGGCTAAAAGGGCAAAAATGCACATGAAATGGTAAATTTGAAAACCAAAATTGACAAATGATTTCAAATTACCGTTTGACCCTTGGCCACACTTCAAACATGATTAATGAGACCCTATGAAAGAATAAAAATGGAATTCCCACACCCTATGCAAACATGGTGAAGCAATAACTTGGCATTTTTCAATATTTTCACAATATTCCATGAAGTCAAAAATTACATAGGATGCAAAATACATGTCATTGGCCTCCGGCCTTATCTCATACATGTCAAATACATTGTAAAAGGTGTACTCATGTACAGATTACATATATGGAATCAAGGATATGAGTTTTGTCATATAAGGCTACAAGTGGCATTTCAAGCCAACCTTTACAAAAATTAAAACCTTCAAGTCTACAATCACCCAAGCAATGATGAACATCACGAACCAAGTCTTCGTACCTGAACAAAACCCCCAGTAACTTCAGGGTGAGTAAACAAGTTTACTCGTAGAGAATGAGCATGTATAAACTCGATTTCTTCACAGATTTTTATATTAACTTGAAACAATTCAAAAGAATCATGCCACCTAACGTTTATGTCAAAGTGAGACTCAGGGATCATCCTAAGCTACTCATGTAATTGAAATGAACTACCTCATACAAGTATACATGCTCCAGTATGCTCAACAATGTCAAAACATGTTATACGACATTCAAGCATACATTTTCAAGTATACTAAACCATATTAAAACAAGTTATGCAACGTCCAAGCACATTTACTCAAGTATACATTTAATATGGAAAACTCGTAAATCAAGTACACAAACACAAGTATACTAAACTAAAAGGATTGCACATGTGACAAGTATACATAGCACAAATATACTAAACGAAATTTAAACTCATGGAGTAAGTATACAAGTTCAAGTATACTAAATAGGATTCAAATACCCAAAGTAAGCATCAATTCTCAAGACATAAGTAATCCATGATTAACAACTTAAAATTAAATGCGAAAACAATAGTGGAAAGACTAGGACATGCGGTCGCTAGACCAAGCAAGTATTTTCGGGTAATTACGATTCACAAGGTACCACTTAGTGCGCACTTATGACTTAGAAGACTCTTGTCTCCGTACTTGAGCCAAACCCTAGCCATCACATAATTTATGTCCTTACAAGCTTTCCAAAATCAACAAGTTTAAAACTTATACAAAATCAAATGTAAGTTACCACATTCCATGCACAAGTAAGGTTGAATCCACACAATTCATGTCCTAGAATTCAAGTCTAAATAACATATGACAAGTTATGTCCTCAATATGCAATTTATACATAAAGCAAGAATATTTTACAACAATTGAGTCACATTACCATCCTAAGCCACAAGTACTAAATAAGCTTCAATTTAGTAACTACCTTCCAAGGTAAACAATTTTAATATTCTAATAAGTTATATACCTACATAAGATATATTTAAACAAGTTATGCA